CTGACTAGGTCCATAGCAGATTTATGTTATCTATCTTAATTAGGCCCTCATTACAACAAGGCAGTCCTTTATTCTTTCCTACATGATTCCTTGTCTCACTCCCCACTGAATCTATTCCAAATCTTTTCTTTTCAAACCTCCTGTTTAGCAAATAACAACAAATAACCAACAAAATGCTGTCCTACAAGCTCTTTATGATAAATTGTCTCCCAGTCAAATCTCAAACTCATTCAGGATGTCTTAGAAGATAGAACAACCATAACCCTGTTTATTAACTTTTGGATAATAAGCATCAGGTGAGGCTTAAAACAGGGAGATATATGCTTACCAAAAATAAAAGCCACTATGATGGAAGAAGTTCAGGGTGAGGTTCTCCAGATGGGCCTTTTGGAGGATGTTGGTTATATATGCTACTCATAACCAACAGGCATCTTTCCATTGTCTTCTGTGTGAAGCTTATCTTTAATTCCACAGAGGCAATGGTGTTCTAGTGCCATACTGCTATAATAAAATACCACTGATAAAATGTTTGTATTGAAAAAAGTGGGTTTTTTGTTGTTATGGGAAGCTTGGGGTAGTTTCTCAGAATTAATCCAGAGTGCTTTCCTCCTCCTTTTCAACTTGATTTGTACCATCTGTCAAAATATGTAATGTTGGCCAAGCTCTATAGGGTACTTATCAGGATGTGTTGAAGTATGTGCAGTTGACATTCTTCATCCATTTGGTTTTTCCTGTGTAGATAGAATGGCCAAACTCCTTTGAGTTATTAGAGATCTGTTCTAAAAAGTTCTGCTGCATGATGCACAACACAGGATCATCTGCAAACAGAACTATCTGGACGACCTTACTATCTACAAGAAATCCTTCCTCGACCTGATCTCTCCCCTGATCTCCTTGTAAATACTTTGACTGAGCACCCATCTCCCTCTTTTATGCTTTGCCTGGTTTTTATTTTCAGAGGGTTATTGAACAGGGTTATTTCTATTGTCACATCTTCCAGGGAATACTTGATGATAATGATCTGGGGACACTATTGTAAAAGAACCTGTAAAAAGGAGTTTTGTTCTTGTAATCAACAAATAGTAAGTGTGATAGGATCTACTCCACAACTTTCATTCATTTGTGAAGTGGTAAAGATGTGGCCTATTGTTGAATATTGCTTGGGAAAGCCTTCTTGGTCCTTAGAAATACTCATTAAAGATATCCTCGATTCATATATAGTTGAACCACATAAACATTTTCTATAGATGGAAGGCTAGACACATAATTCAGTAGTTATTAATGTGATCTCCATCACTTATTTTTGGTATTAGTAAGTTTCAAGATTTCTTCCGCACCTTTATTACTTTCCCTCTGTGCAGATACTTCCTCTGTCAGTCCCTTAATGCTCTCATAATTCTGTCATCTCAAGGATTGATTTTCTCTTAAATGTACTTGATCCAATCTGCTTCCTTTTCCCCGTATATGTTCTCTTTAGTGCCATAAATAAAAATAGTAATAACTTGCTTATCTTATAAAACATTTTAAGGTTTTCAAAGCTCTTTACATTATTGTATTTAATTCTCACAAAAATCTTGTGAGGCAAGAGCAATTGGTATTATTATCCTCATTTTACTAATGCAGATGCTGAAGCTAAGAAAGGGTAAATGACTTGCCCTGGGTTACATAGCTAGTAAGTGTCTGAGGGAAGATCTGAACCCAAGTCTTTGTGATTCCAGGTCAAGTACTCTGTACATTATTCCACACTGCCTTCCTTTAGAACTGAAAGGAATCTTTGAGATCTTTCATTCTCAACTTTTCATTTTACAAATGAGAAAACTAAGTTGTTATTGGGAAAGTGGGATTCACCCAAGGTTACAATAGCTTATGTCTTCCACCTCCAGACCCATAACACTTTCTGCCAGAAGGTCACCCATGGTACACTGTAGAGCTCTTAGGTACTTTCTCTAAGGACCAGAAGGGAAGCCCTGTACTGCCTCTTAGTCTGTAGTCTCTCATCTGGAAAGTACTCTTTCTCAGTAACTAGGATGCTAAAACTACATCCTTAAGACTATCCTTATTCTTTTGAGACAGTCTCTGTCTGCCTCTTCTCATGTTCATTTGTTTTCCCCCTCTCTCCTCCTCCTTTCCCTCTTCATAACCCATCTCTCTCATTGCATCTACTGCTTCCTCACCAAAGTGAGCATCTCTTTCTTTTTCTTGTAAAGCCTATCCCTCAATTACTTTCAGGTATTCTAAGAGTCCCCTAGTTAAGTATGATCTTCAGCAATAGCAAAACTCATCCAAAAAGACTAGTTATATTTAAAACACTACCTGTCAACAACAACAACAAAAAAGTGTTCCTGTGGCGTTTTAAAGGGTTTGTTGTATTACCAAAAGAGTTTAATTTGATTAGAGAAGAGTTTAATTTGCAGAACATACAATTTGATTGGTTGGTAAGCAAAGAAAGTTATTAAGGGCTATGGATTTATAAATCTTTTGTATACTATTCCTTTTTTTTAAAAAAAATATTTATTTATTTTTTGTTTTTCAGCATTTACTTCTGTAGGGTTTTGATTTCTAAATTTTCTCCTTTTGCCTCAGCTCCCCCTTCCCTAAGATGGCGTGCAGTCTCATATAGGCTATTGTATACTATTCTTAGAGAACCTTGCCACTCCTTTGAATTCATCTTTAGACTGTTTTCACTTGCATTTCTGGTGGGTGTGTGTGTGTGTATAAACACATATAACAGTCCTTTATCATTTTAAGAATTTTAATGACAAATAATTCAATACATAGAACAACTCTTAAGCAGTCATCATTTATTATCTCTGTTGTGCTACTGTGTATCCTGAAATATCAACAAAACATGCTGTGATGATTTACATAATTTTGCAAAAACAATAAGGACTACTTGCCAGATGGGCAATACGATTGAAATGGTTAGGATACTTTATCTTTAACCTTTATTTATTAAGGTCTAGATATTAATATGCCGTATTATCATGTTAGGAGGGATCTTGGAGTACAGCTAGCCCAACTCCCTTATTCTGCAGATGAGGAAATTGAGATAACTGGTTGGTGAATTCCTCAGGTCAAACAAGCAGGATTTGTGCCCATATCCTCTGACTCCACAAGCTGAGCTCTTTTCACTGTCATCTTTCATGCTAAACTGATGGCTTTCATTTTGAAGCAATTTTAACACTTTTTTTTTTTAATACAATGAATTTGATTTGTTGAATTCTCGTTCTATTTTGTTTCCAGCATCTTGGCTTTTTAGTGAAACTATAATGCTTTATTACCTCAATCTGTTACAATGGAATTTAGTCTTACATTCAGTTCCATTTAAGGAATTTTTAAGTTGGGCATTTTCAAGAACATTATGACTTTTAAGTACTGATTTTTTTGTATGGGATCTGTGATTTCATTCCTTTGGAAATTATTGGTGAGGAAATCCTTCACCAATGAAGAATCCAGCAACTGCTCTGTAACTTAGTCTCAGAAAGTGGTCTGGGGCACAGAGAGGCTCAGCGACTTGCCTAGGGTCACACAGTCAGTCTGTCATGGACAGGACTTTAATCTAGGTCTTCTTAACATGCAGGCCAGTTTTCTTTCCATTTTGTCGCAGCTGCTGAGAGAAAAACAGTACATTATAAATGTGCATTAGAATTCTCAGCTTAACAGTGACTTATCTCTGAAAAAATAGTCACTTCTGGCATTCAAGGTCCTTGGCTTATACAGTTGGTAGGTCACCTAAGTAAAATATGTTTTTTAATCAAAAACTGTATGTGGCTAATGATTGGATATGTGGGGTGAGTGATAGTAAGGTATTCAGAATGATACCAAAGTTGTGATTCTGAATGACTGGAAGGATGGTGATGCCCATGGCAGGAATTGGGAAGTTTGGAAGAACAGTCAGGGTGGGAGGGTAGGGAGGATAACGAGTAGTGTTTTGAATATGCTGAATTTGAGATAACTGCAGAGCATTCAGTTTGAAGTGTCCATAGGCGATTGCCAGTGAGTCATGTTTTGTATTTCTGGTCGACCAGTCTTGTCTTTTCTACCTCTGTGTCCCTTTGTCTTTACTCACATAGCCACTACTCTAACTCAGGACTTCACTTTTCATCTGGACTGTTGGTCTCCCTGTCTCAAATCTTTTCCCATTCTAATACATATTTCACATAGCTACCAAAGTGATTTTCCTAAAGCACAGGTTTGACAGTGTCACTCTCCATCAGTTTATGTGTGTTCAGTGTCCTCCTCTCCCCAGCTGAAGAGGCATTACACTTGTATTATCCATGCTGTCATTCTCACCATTAGTGTTGCTATTAAATAGTTGATAGTGTACAGCTAAGTACCAATTAGTGTGAATGATAGATCTTATTAAATGGTGTCATTATTCAGATGCGTATTTTCATTGTATTAGAATGAATTACTTTATAAATTCCTCAGGAAATGATTTCAGGTTACTGTGCTTTACAACAATATTTTCTACTTATTTTATGTACTTAATTCATTTGTGTGTGTGTGTGTGTGTGTGTGTGTGTGTGTGTGTGTGTGTGTGTGTG